ATGACTCTAACTACTCTAGGCACCTTGTATGAATGGAATCATACGGTTCTGTCTTTTTTTTTTTTTAAGATTTTATTTATTTATTTGACAGACAGAGATCACAAGTAGGCAGAGAGGCAGGCAGAGAGAGAGGGGGGGAAGCAGGCTCCCTGCTGAGCAGAGAGCCTGACACAGGACTTGATCCCAGGACCCTAAGACCATGACCTGAGCCAAAGGCAAAGGCTTAACCCACTGAGCCAGGTGCCCCCAGTTCTGTCTTTTTGTGATAGCCTCATGTCACTTGGCATAAGGTCCTCAAGGTTCATTCATGTTGTAGGCTGCATCACAATTTCCTTCCCTTTTCAAGGCTGAATTGTATCCCACCGTCCATATATACCACATTTTGTTTATCTATTCACCCAGCCACGGGCACTCAGGTTCCTTCCATCTTTTGGCTACTGTAAGTAATGCTGCTATGAAGATGGGTATTCAAATATCTGTTCAAGTCCCTGCTTTCGATTCTTTGAAGTACATACCCAGAAGCGGGATGGCCCGATCATATGGTAATTCCATGTTTAATTTTTTTGAGGAACCACCATCCTTCTTTTTTTTTTCCTTTTAAAGATTTTATTTATTTATTTATTTGACAGAGAGAGAGAGAGAGAGAGAGAGACAGCGAGAGAGGGAACAGAAGCAGGGGAAGTGGGAGAGGGAGAAACAGGCCTCCCATTGAGCAGGGAGCCTGATGTGGGGCTCAATCCCACAACGCTGGGATCACGAACTGAACCAAAGGCAAAGGCTTAAGGCCTGAGCCACCCAGGTACCCCACAGCAAGAGAGGGAACAGAAGCAGGGGGAGAGGGAGAGGAAGAGGAAGAAGCAGGCTTCCCAGCCAGCAGGGAGCCTGATGCAGGGCTCAATCCCAGGACCCTGAGATCATGACCTGAGCCGAAGGCAGATGCTTAAGGACTGAGCCACCCAGGCACCCCACCACCACCCTCCTTAATTTTTCTGAGCCTCAGTTTTTCCTCTGATGAAATGGGGGCACCCACCTCACACCGTGGTTGTGAAACTGAAACGAGGCATGTATGCACACAGCACTTAGAACAGACCATCCTCAGCATCCAACAAGGTCTAGCAATATGGTGACTCTGGTTCTCGGTCCCTAGCATGTAGTATTATATTATTTACCAACTTATTCTCAACACCTGCGACATAGTAGATGCTCCTTAAATAACCGTTCAATAGAACCATTCATTCATTCGAGAACGCTATTTAACTGCCTGCTACTTGTCGGGCAGCGGCAGGACTCGATCTCTTACTCTCCAAAGCCAAACCCCTCCACCCTCGTCTGACTCACCTCCCTGTCCCCTAGTTTCTTCCCCCTCCCCCCATTTTCTTTTGTCATCTTAAGCCTGGCATGAGGTTGGAGTAAGTTCCTAAGCGCAGAGCAGGTACTCAGCACGGTTTATGGAACGCTTAATGGGTGTGTAGATAGTAGGGCCCTAGCACTCCGTGGATAACTGGCACACGTATGCCTGCCAAGCACATGTCGGCTAAACTGGGGAAGGAACTAAAATTCCCGTAATAGGTCGCCCCCTGTTGGAGATATCTTGCAAGCCCAGTTGGGCTCCGCAGCCAATGGCCCACGCAAGCGCACTCACGATCGCTGGCAGGTCTTCTGGCCGTAGCTCCCCCTTGCGGAGCTGCAGGGCGCGCGCAGCCTCTTCCGGGCATGCGCACAGCGACTCCATGTCCAGTTGAGGGAGTGCACTGTAACCCTCGCGCGCGTGCTCGTACAGAAGATTCCGGTCTCGTCTCTCCGTGGCAAAAGTTCTCCTTGGGTTATGACTGCAGACGCAGCCTCTCCGGGGCCGAAGACCCCAACCAGCCACCAAAGACCCCAAACGCCGCGCCATGGACGCAGCCATCTTGGACGGGGGACAAGGAGTTACGCACCCTTCGTCCCGCCCACTCCGCGTTTAGACCAATTGCAAAGCAGCCGCGCCTCTCGTGCCTCAAACACAGTCCGACTGGAAAAATTGACCGAGATTGACTGTGTCTTTGACCAATCGTTGTTTGTGTCCCGCCCCTTCAGTGCACGAGAGGCCGATCCAGCCAATCCCTGCCGGGACGACCTCCGGAAGTGGCTTGAAACCGGTTCCCCGTGTCTGCGGACCCTGCTAGGGTAGGTGAAGTAGATATGAAATCATCGGGTTCCCCAAATCTCTCTGGCCCTGTCCTTAGTTTCTTTTCTCCTCCTGTATGCCGGGGGTGGGGGAGGGAGGTTGCTAGGTGCCCGAGAGCCTACTCAGAGCGAAACTAAATTTACGGGGAGAATTTCTGTCCGCAGCGTGAAGGATTGTAGTCAGACTATCAGAGGAAATTCCTTGGACTTAATCCGCAGGCTCTGAGGACGGGATGGGGAGAATTGGGGCCCTTCCCCGACTCCGGCCATTTTCCCCTTTTCCTTCCTGATTCTCGCATCCCCTAACACAGGGATCCTTCAGGCGGCGGGATGTTCTGGTCCGGCCTTCTCCGTGGCCTCAGCACGTCCCTAAATTATGGTAAGTTGGGGACTTGAGCTGCAGAGACGCCGCTGTACGAGGGTTATCCCCTCTGGGACTTGTGTGCCTCTGCCGCAGCCCTGGGGGGAATCGGGGTTTTAAGTTTGGGAGGCACGGATGCACGGTGGGTTTTAGCGGAGCTCGGGCTGAAAGGGCAAGAGGTGGGAAGTCGTTGCCTTGGGGACGACTGTGCATCGTCAGGTGGGTACCGGGAGTTTGGTTCAGTTTCTGATTTCTTCAGCAAATACTTAATAATCTCCCGTGGGTGAGACATCCAAGCAAAGGGTTGATCTTAGTGTGCGCCAGACAAGGAGAGGGATGCTTTATTTGTTCTTATGGGCTCTGCAGACATCACATGCTTCTCATGGCCAGGCCCTTTGCAAAGTATCTCAGTCACTCACTCTGCAGATTTTATTAAGCACTTTCTGGTTGCCACTCACTAAGGATCCCGTGATAGGCTTGCGCTTTGCCAGGGAATTCTGGGCTAGCTTGACACGCATCTCTCACTGTAACCTCTCGTACACCATACTCAAGGGGGAGGTGTGACTCTGGTGCCTGTGATGTGGTGAGGACCCTGAGGCACTGAGGCAGAGTCTTGCTCAAGGGCATACCACTAGGAAGAGGCTTCTAGCAACGTCTCACCACTTTGAGGATTCTGTGTAACTTGACATGTAAGGTAACACGGAAATGGATAGTAGAGCCAGGACCCACCCTGGATAGGGAGGGAGTGTAAAGTTTGGGTGTAAAAGGGCATCTGTGCTAGGGACAGGAAAGGGATGAACCTAGAGTCTTGAATTGGAAGCTCCAAGAGGGTATGTCCAGGGCCATCTCTGTCACCGTCGTGCCTCCATTATTGGGGCCAAGATGGTAGGTACTCGGTAAATGTTTGCTCAAGAGAAACTGGTTATGGTGGCATCTTCTTAACATCCTATCCGTGAGCAGATCTGTCAGTCTGCCTTGGAAATATATTCCCTCCCTGAACTGTCCTTCCTACTCCACTGCAGCCACACTGGTCCCCTTTCTGTTGGGTGTGTCTGGGGACACCAGCTGGAGCATGATGAGCAAGGGGGCAAGTAGGGAGAGGAGGTCAGGGAAGTGATGGGGGCAGAGCACCTGGGGCCTCATGGGCCACGGAAAGGACTTTGGCTTTTCCCTGAGTCAGATGGCACCGTAGGAGAGAGGGCTCTGAGCAGGGGAGGGGGGTACTGATCTGACCCCCGTGTCCACAGGGTCCCTCTGGCTGGATGTGGGGACCAGACTATAGGAGGGAGAAGGAGGACTCAATAGACGAGGCTGGACAGGACCAAAGGGATGCAGTGGAGGAGGGGGGGGGAGGGTCCGTAACAGTTTGGGGGATGTCATCTGCTCATGGGGGTTAGAGGAGGGACACCTCCCCCGAACACCCCATTGGGTTGCTGTAGGGATGACGCGAGTTCACATAGGTACAGGGCATAGACCAGTCCATGACGTGGTGTGAATCTGTTCGCTTTTATTATTGTTTGCCAATAGCACTAAAGTCAGTGCCTTCCTTGCAGAATAAAAGGAGCTAATTCACATTAAATGTTTAAAACAGAACCTGACACGTAGGTGTTATTACTCTATTTGTGACTACCCCCAGACGGAAACAAGTACATCCTGGGAAAGTGCTTGGAACTGTGCCTAGAACTCTTACCCATTTGCTGGGGTAACAGCCTCCCCTCCCGGTTGTGTGTCTCCAGGCCTAGCCCTGGCCACCCGGCCCATGGCCACCCTGAACCAGATGCACCGCCGAGGGCTTCCCAAGAGGCCGCCTCCACCTCTAGGCCCCACGGCCGGCCGGCCGCAGCTGAAGGGAGTGGTATTGCGCACGTTCATCCGAAAGCCCAAGAAACCCAACTCAGCCAACCGCAAGTGCTGCCGCGTGCGGCTCAGCAACGGCCGAGAGGCCGTGTGCTTCATCCCCGGGGAGGGCCACAGCCTGCAGGAGCACCATGTCGTGCTGGTGCAGGGCGGCCGCACCCAGGACCTGCCCGGCGTGAAGCTGACTGTTGTGCGTGGCAAGTACGACTGTGGCCACGTGCAGAAGAAGAAGTGACTGGCAGGGCCGCGGCGGGCTGGGGTTCCCCCGGAACCAGAACCTTCCTCTCTGGGTGCCTGTGGTATCCTTGGGAAACTTCCAGCTCTGGAAGTACCTGGTCCTGGGTGCAAATCCTGCCTTTGCCTCTTCCAGCCGGAACACCGCTTGCCCACAGGGCTTCTGGGTGGAGTTAGTAAAAGCTCCCCTCTGTCCACACCCTTGCCTTCTGTGTGTAGAGCGTGGGCTCGGAGGACCTCTTCTGCTGGGACAGGGCCCTGTATTGCCATCTGCTGGGAAGGGGTGGCAATAAACACACAGACCGCCTCCCACTCCCCTGGTTGTGGTGTGACCCTTCCTGTATTTGTCCTCTGCGTGGTATTAGCCACGGACATCCCCGATGGGCCTGTTTGCTCCAGAAAATAGCCCTCCTCACAATATCCCCCTTGTTGGGTTTGGTGAAGATGAAATCCGAGGCCCTAAGTGCAGAACACCTGCCAATGGCTACTCTGTGGGGGAGCTCTGGAGTCCGCTAGGTGGCTCTGAGGCCCTTTTCCCTTTCCCACAGGCCCAGGATCTGGGCAAGGACAGCCCGACTGTCCGGCTTCCTCATCTGTGCTGGGGGTATTGGGAGGCTCAGAGGGGGTGCTCTGCTGGCCGCCTGGGAGCTGCTCCTCTCGATTATTTTCAGACCCACACACAACTGGGTCTGAATCCCGACTCTCCCTCTTTGTTCTGCGACTTTGGATATATTTATTGAGCTAGTTGGTTGCCCGTGCCCAGCCAGGGAGAGAGCAGGAGACACTAGGGAGGCAGGCCCGAGTGCTTTCCCCTGTGGCACGCCTTGCTCTTGGAGTCTGAATGCAAGGGTGTGGAGAAAAGGAATCTGTTGGCCAGCAGGAGGGGAGCTTCCCCTGAGGTAGGGACAGGAGGTGGGATAGGGGACGTGGTTTGCGGATCAGCAGGGACTTGGGAATTCTGATAGAAACGGCACCAGCCAGGCCCAAAAAGCAGGCCTGATGGGTGGTGCTGGAGCAGGTCACACAAGCCCCACAGCTGAGTCCCAGAGACTCCGAAGACTAAGGAAACGGTTCCCCTTTGACACCCCTGTTGGTGACCTCAGGGAGCAGACCTTAGGCGGGGCAGTCTGTCCTCAAGGACAGCTCTGCTCCCTGCCAGCTTACCCCACAAACATGTGGTCAGGAGTCACCGTCCCAGGTGGTCAGTGACTTTCCCCCACGGTTACAAATCCTAGTTTGGCCTTTGTCTTGTGACTCAGTCCGCCAACTGACATCCACACGTGTAAGAAAACAATTTGCAAGCAAAGTAAACATCTCTGAGTTGCTCTGGGAGTAACTTTTCCTACCCTGGGAAGCTGGGGAAGTGGTGAGCAGCCTGGTTGGATCCATGGTTTCTTGCACAGCACGTGGGCACCATGCCGAAACAGCAGTGAGAGGGGTTCCCTGGAGGGCCGCCAGGAAGGGGCTACATGGGACCCCCACTTGTCCACGGGCACCCGGCTCCCGGCCGGGCTCCCAACCTCAAAACTGCCCTTCACTGATGATGCCCAGCAGACGGCAGTACTTTCTGGAAGGCTGGATCAGTTGGTTAGGACAGGCGGATCCTGACCCTGACACTGGAGTGGGTCACCAGGGCGCCATAGTGCCCTACCCAGGAACGTGTGTCCCTCCCGTACTGCTCAAAAGACACGTAGCGGATGCCCTTGCCAAAGTTGGTGAAGACATGCGACACCTGCATGGGAAAAGAGTGGGAGGGTGAGGGCCTGTGGGCCCTTCCCTTCCTCTACCCCCTCAACAGGCACTCCCCAAGGACCAGTGAGGTACCAGGCCCTGTTCTAGGCACTGGGAATACAGCAGTGAGGAAAGCAGAAAGGCCCTGGCCAGGGGAAGCTGCTGCTCTAGCAGGGGATTCAGACACTGAAGACAGTTTGGAGGGGTAAGGGGCAAGGGGGTGGGGTTGTACAGTAAGTGAACAAGGGCACCACTGAGGCAACATTTTGAGCACAGACCTGAGTGCGGGGAGGAAGCCATGTGGGGATCGGGATGAAGAGTGTTCCAAACAGAGGAAGTCTTAGGACCTCTGGGGGGCTCAGCTGGTAAAGCATCTGCCTTCAGCTTAGGTCATGATCCTGGGGTCCTGGGATGGAGCCCCATGTCAGGCTCTCTGCTTGGCAGGGAGCCTGCTTCTCCCTCAACCCCTCCCCCTGCTTGTGCTTGCTCTCTCTCTCTGACAAATAAAATCTTTAAAAAACAAACCAAAACTTTCTCTCTTAAAAAAAAAAAAACAACAAAACAGAACAGAGAAGCGGCCAGTGCAAAGGCCCTGAGGTAGAAGTGTGCCTGGAGCGGAGATGAGAACAGAAGGCAGTGTCTGGGAGGTAAAGGGCAGATGATGTGGGGCCTTGTGGGCCATGGAAGGACTTTGGCTTCTGGCTTTTCTTCTCCTTTGCAACATTTTTTTTTTTTTTAAAGATTTTATTTATTTATTTGACAGAGAGAGATCACAAGTAGACAGAAGCAGGCAGAGAGAGAGAGGGAAGCAGGCTCCCTGCTCAGCAGGGAGCCCGATGCGGGACTCGATCCCAGGACCCTGAGATCATGACCTGAGCCAAAGGCAGCGGCTTAATCCACTGAGCCACCCAGGCGCCCAGCAACATTTTTTTTAATTGAGATAATATTCACCTAAAAAATGCACCATTTAAAACTGTACAACTTCATGGTTTTTAGTATTTTCACAATGTCATGCAACTATGACCGACTCTCTAATTCTGGAACATTTCCATCACCCCAGAAAAAAGCCTCATATCCATTAGCTGTCACTTCCAATTATTCCCTCCCCCTAGCCTTAACAACCACTCCTCTATCTGCTTTTTCTCTGTCTTTGCTGCTTCTGGACATTTCCCATAAATGCAGTCCTACAGTGTGTAGCCTTTTGTGCCTAGCCTCTTTTCACTTAGCATCCCATTGTCAGGGTTCATCCATGTTGGAACATGGATTCACACTTCATCCCTTTTTATAGCTGCCTGATAAAACTTTGGCTTTTCCTCTGAGATGTAGCCCTAGGAGGGTTCCAAGCAAGGGAGACTTGTGATCTGACTCACTTTTCAATGGGATCTTTCTGGATGTGTGTTGGGTGGGGAGGGAGGGATAGAGAGAAGGAGATCAGGAGAAGAAACAAGAAAGCCACCTCAAAGGTTTGATTTTTTTTTTTTTTTTTAAGTGATCACTCCCAAGCGGGAGGCAGGGAGGGCAGAGAGAGAGAGAATCATAAGCAGGCTCCAACAGCAGACTCCCATCAGGAGCCTGACATCATGACCCAAGCTCAAATCGAGTCAGACACTTAACTGACGGAGCCCCACAAGTGCCCCACAAAGGTGACTTTGATAACAGGGGTGATGACTCACAGCACAGGCTTGGGAGCCAACCTGTGTGTGACTGGAGCCCCGTGTGCTTTAGTGGGACTTTGAGGCCAGCACTTAAGCTTGTATGACTCAGTTTCCTCGACTCTAGAATGGGGATAGAGGCAAGGACTTTGACTTACCACTGCATCCCAAGCCCTTAGGGCAGTGCCCATCACACAGTAGGTGCTCTGCTAATGAAATGAATTAGCTGGTGAAATCTCCCGGAAGAGCACCCCAAGTGAAGTAAGGGCTCCGTGATTGTTAGTGGTTATTGTTAGAGACTTCCAGCCGTGAGGAGGGCTGAGAAGGGAATCTGAGCAGGTGGAAGGTGGGGTGTGTCTTTGCGCGGGTTGGGGCTGGTCTGGAAGACAGGCTGGATGGACCTACCTGTCGGCAGCCTCTCTCCGTCCACTGAAGAACCGGGTTGGGTGAGGCCGAGAACTTGACCACTTCGTTTTCGTACACATCCAGGAGGCGGACCCGGAGACGGTAGATGCAGCCACAGTTTTCTCGGGCACCCCACCTGCCAGGTAGTGGTGAGCCCTGATGCCCTCGCCACCCACCCGGTCATGGGGGTGGGAGGAGGAAGGCTGAGGGCCAAGCCTCCCTTACTTTGATGCGGATCACACACCCCACACTGTGTATGGAGAAGTCAGGGCCTGGGAATTTGTGGGGAGGAGACTGGGTGCTCCTGGGGTGGCTTCTAGGGGCTTGGGTTTGGATGTGTGTGTATGGAGGGGGAGGAGTCCGGTGTCTGGGGAGGAACCACAAACTGGAAGAGGAGGAGGCTGGGTATCTTGATGGAGGAGCCAGAGCCCCCAGGAAGAAACTGGACTTTGTGTGGAGCAGTAAGAGCTTGAAGGAGGAGCCTGAGCGCTTTGTGAAGGAACCAGGTGCTCTGGAACCAGTGCCTGGTGCCAACTCTGCCCCTCTGAGTCCCAGTTCTCAGGGCACAGTGCTCCGACCCTTCCTGAGGACTTGGGTGTCCACAGGCCCTTAGGCTCCATGCTGAGTGTGGGTGATGAGGGTGGCGTGGGTGAGATGGGGTGCCTTGTTTCAGACCAAGCCAGTCAGTGGCCTCCATGTCAGCAGCCCTGGGGCCTGCTAAAGGGGGAGAGGGAAGAGTGCAGAGCGGGGGGGCCTCTGGGTTCATCAAGGCTCTGCCCTCCCAGCTTCTACAACTGTGAGAGCATCCCCTCCCCCGTCAGCCTCACCACACAGTAGCTGTGGCCAGGCCAGGGGGCTGATGAGGGCACGGAGGAACCCCTTCTGCAGCACGGCTGCCGGCTCTTGACGGTGCTGGGGGCGGGCTGCCATTATTGACTTACCAGTCGGCCACACAGATCTCGATCTGGGCGCTGTCCAGCAGCTCCTGCCACACCCCCTCCATCACCAAGTCTACAAGCTGCCTCTTGAAGCACCATCTGGGAAGGGGAAGATGGTATAGGGATAAGGCAGAAAGCCACAGCCCAGAAATCACGTCCTCCAAGAAGCCCCCCTCCCTCCACAGCCCTGTCTGAAGCAGCAGCCCCTCAGGGTTTGCTCTACTGGACAAGATGTAGGATGGGCCGGGCATGCCCACTGGCCTCTCCCATCCCTCCCCCATTTTCCACCAGGCTCTGGGCTCCAGGAGGCTGACCTGTATGTCTCTAGTATTTGTGGGGACTGGAACATGAGTACAAATGGAGGCCCACACTGAGCAGGGAGTTCTGGAGCCTCCTAATAAAGTGCAGAGGCCCAAAGGCTAAAGTTGAACTGCCTGTAGTTTCCCCTATCCTCCCCTTCCTGCTGGGTCAGCCAATGGGAGCACTAACAGGAGAGCGAAGGGCGAGAGGAGAGTAAAACCGGGTTATTTAGCCTCCCAGCTCCCTCCAAGGGATCAGTGTAGGACTGCTGTGTCTCCCCACGAAAGGGCACAGCTCCGTGTGCCCCTCTCCTCACAGCCTTCCCTGTCTATGGTTCAGGAACTGCTTCCTCCCCTTATCCTTGTCAGGTCTCCAACCAGTAATGACCCTTTCCCTCTCCGTTGCTAGCCTGGGGTTCATGGAGTATCCCTTATGGTCCGCCCTCACTTTTGTAACAGTGCTTCTCCCCTGATTTGAATATGCCATCTAAAGATCTAAATGTGAAGGATAAAACTGTGAAGTTACTGGAAGAGATTATGAGAGAATACTGTTAGGATCTAAGGGTAGGGAAGGATTTTTTCATGCAGAATTTCAAAAACAGTCTCTAAAGCAAAGAAGAATTTGATCATAGGAAAATGACGAAGAACACCATGGACACAGTTAATACAGATGGTAGAGGCGGAGATTCCAGGATGGACAAGGGGCTAACATCTAAGATACACAAGGGGTTCTTGTATATCAGCAAGAATGAGACATCAACCCTAATTTGAAAATATGAATGGGCGATTTCCAAAAGAGGGAATGCAAAAAGCTAACAAGCACGTGAAGAGATGCTTTATTATTAGTAAATCGAAACATGCAAATTAAAACATCAGTAAGACATCACTTCCACTCCTAATATACTGCAACTACTAGAAAGTTGGATAATGCCACAGGGGAATGGTTGAACACTGGGGGAGGGAGCGAGGACAATGGGTATAGGTTGAACATGGAGGGAGGACGACGGGTATGGAGTGTGAGAATAAAGAGAATCAATCAATCCGTCAGCTGTTCTGATGTCTTCGTGGAATTTGTCACAGTCAGTAGCTCTGGAGCCAGATTACCTGGGTTCAAATCCCAGCGCCACCATTTATTGGTGTTGGCTACCCTTTGTGCCTGTTTCCTATTAACAAATGGAGATAAGGCTATCCATGTCACAGGACTGTTGCCAGGATTCAAAGAGTTATATGTAAAGCAGTTATATGTAAGTCCTCTAAAGGTTTGTTGTTTTGTTGTCATCATTATTTTACTGTTTATGTGTTTAATGTCTCGCCCCGCCCCTTTCGGAATTCCCCATTTCTGAATTTTCCCTGTATCTCTGGCATATAAAACAGTGCCTACTAGCTGGCAGGCCCTCAACAGATATTTGACAACTATCTGACTCACTGAATAAATGAATGAGGGAAGGAGAGGGTGAAAGTGAGTGAGGGTGAGGATGAGGACGGAGGGCCAGGGCTCAAGGGCAACTCACTGGAAAGAAGTCACGAAGCAGGTCTGGGAAGGAGCCCCCGGCACCAGCGTTAGGTTCTTCTCCACGGCCCAGCCGTTCCCGCCGTGCTCCACCTCCCAGCCTCTGAAACCCTCTGTGGGATACAACACGTCCGAAAACGAGGCATTCACCTGCAGCTCGCCCAGCGGACAGTCCGCCACCATCCAGCTTGCCCCGCTCACAAACTCCTCCCTCTCGCGCTCCCCCCCCGGTTTCTCCACCGCCCCCCCCCCCAGGCCCTGCCTCCCGGCCGCCGGCACTCCTCGTCCCACCCCACACCCGCGTCACTCAGCCCTGCTCATCCACTCAGCTTCTCCTCAGCTCCACTCGGCCCCGCCCCCAGCTCTCTCTTCAGCTCCCTCCATCTGCTCGGCTTCTCCTTGGATCCGCCCCGGGCTTGTGATATCATGGCCCCACCCCCTCCTACCAAAGCCCTCTGTCTCCCGCCCTGGGCCCGCTCACTCGCTCGGTTTCTCCCTCCTCACCGGCCCTCAGGGCAACTTCATAGTTCTATGAAGCTCCGCCCCCGCCAGCGCCCGCTCAGCTTTTCCTCAACCTTTCCTGACTCCTCCCTCCTTAGCCCGGCTCACTGAGTCTACAGTCCCAGTCTGAGTCATTCCTGCCAGGGCCCTTGGCTCGTCCAGCTCTTGGTCGCCCATCCACGTCGTCGTCCTCCACAAGCCCACAGCACCTGGCCCCGCCCACCCACTCCATCTCTTTCCCAGACCCGCGGATAAGTTTCACAGGAGCCTCTTTCCTCGGCCACGCCCCCTTGTTCCTGCCCTGGCCCCGCCCCGTCTCGTGCATCCAGACCACGCCCACTCTGCCTGGCCCGACGCCCCATCCCACACAACACTTCTGTCTACCCGGCCCCGCCCCCGTACGCACGCTCTCCGCAGGAGTTGAAGATGAGGTTGCGGCCGAGGGGCGCGCGCAGGCAGTAGCGCGCCAGGGCGCAGAGCGGGAACTCCTCGTCCTCGCCGTTGGGCGGGCAGCGCTGGGCCACCGCGTAAAGTGCACGGCCCTCGGCGCTGCGGTCGCGGGCCAGCTGCAGCAGCCACACGGTGGGCCCGTCCACCACGTCACGCCAGGCGCGGCACACTGCGCGGCAGCGCGTCACCAGGGCGCGCGGCGGCACGTGGCTCAGCACCTGCACCAGCAGCTCCGGGGGCAGCGCGTCCAAGGCTAGGGGCGGGTCCGCGGGCAGCCGCCGCCGCGAGGGCCGGGCGCCCATCTCCGGCCGCCAGAGACCTGCGGGTTGAGAGGGGTCACCAGATCAGGGCAGTTAGGCCTCCCTCACCTCTCCCAGGACACAAGGTCCCTGGGACTTGGCCATGGCCCCACCAGCTCCAGTGGGGGGCCGCGGGACTACCACGGCCCGTGAAAACTGGGCACCTAGTTACTGCCAGTTGGCTCTGAAGGCGACTGGCTTCTCACCTTACCCCCTGGAGCAGAGGGGCCCTGGTCCAACCACGACTCCCCGGGGACTGCTAACCCCCGGCTTCCATATCAGGCCGGTACACTTGTGTCAGGCTAAGCACTCTACACATATGACCGTGAGCACAGAAAAAAACCGCTCCATACCCCAGCCTGTCCCAACCTCTCAGGCCTTGGAACTCATGAACTGATTCAGTTCATGAAATCTCTTCACTGAACATTCTTGTCACTTTAACCAAAACCCAGTCCTGTTCCCCGCCCTCCTCCCCCACTCCCCGCCCTTCCAAGTGGTTAAACCTTTGCTCCTTGGTGCTGCCTCCAGACCATTCTTCCCTCCTCCCCCAAACTCCCCCAGCTATGATCGCTGTGTCCTCAGAGTAGATGGGTCACTGCCCTGCCTTGTGCATCACGGGCTGATTCAGCTCACTACTCACTTCATGATTTTAGTTCTAGGCCTCCAGCCACTCAGGCTGCTCTTCTCAACATTCCACATCCAGACAGATGATCCTTCCTTCTGCCACCTGCTTCTCTGCTCCCTGACCTGCTCTCCTCTCAGCCTTTCCCTTCCATGGTCACACCTAGACTTTTTCTTGGTGACCACAGACTCTTCGAGAAACTCAATCTCAGGCAACTAGCTCACTCTCCACTCCTCACCCCTTTTCTCTCCAGCTCCTTTCTTCTAGTGCCCCAGACTGGCTTCTTTCCACACGTGACCCTGGTTCAATCCAGCCCAGTACCCAGTTTGAGGTGACTGAAGAACACACAATTCCATTGGCTGGTCTCCCTATCAGATTGTGAACTTGACCCTCAAGCTGGGAATGCTCTGTGGCAATCAGGTAACATGTGTTATCCACAGGCTCCTCCTCTCTCTAGATAACTCCTTCACACCTTCTCCCCCAACCCCTAGCTCATCACACCTCCTTCCACCTCTTCATTCTCCTTTTGCTTCTTATTTTGCAGAAAAAAAAAAAAATTAGAAGCGATGAGAAGTGAACTTTCACAGGTGCCCACTCTGTCTACCACCCACCTGCCTTGGGGCCTCTGTGCTTTCCCACGATGACTGCACTGAAAACGTCAGCCCTCTGTGTGACCTGCTCGCACCCCTTCCGCCCACTCCAGGTCACAGTCTCACAGTTCTCGCTGTCTCCTGCGCCTTGGATTCCACCTCCGAACTCGATCATTCTCAGCCGCCCACACGGTATCATCCCCCTCCTGTGAAAACAAACTCTCTCTTGACTTCACCTCCCCTTCTGGCTATGGCCCCATTTCTTTGCTCCTCTTTACGGTAAAACTTCTCAAAAAAGTTGTCACCAGTCTCTGCCTCCAAATGTTCTCCTTCTGTTCTCTCTTAAACCTTCTCTAATCAGGCTCTGCCCCCTGCCCTGAAATGTCAAGGTCACCAATGACCCCTTAGGTGCTAAGTCAAAGCCAGGGTTCAGTCCTCACTTTGACACTGACACACTGAGTTTACTCCCACTTCACTTAGCTCCAAGCCACGATATGCTCTGGACCCCTTCCATTTGCCTGGTGGCTCCTAGTGAGTTTCTGGCTTCCCTCTGATCTGGCAATGTGAGAGACTGGTGTTTAAACCTCCTGTATTCTCCACCACTACTCACTCCCTTGGGGATCTCACCCATTCATACACCTCCCTCCTGGCCCATCATTGTCTTTCTGCTTCTTTCCCCAGTCATCTGTAACTCACTAGTAGCCACTAGTAACTCACTAGTATGAGCACCTGAGTCAGGTCTTGTCCCTGTGTTGCTCGGAAACCCCCCACCCCGGGGGGGCTGCCATCCCACTCTGGATAAAGGCAGAGTCCTCACTGTGGCCCACAAGGCCCCACACAGTCTGTTTCCATCACCTGCTCGCCCTAATCTCCCCATCACCCGCTCTGTCCAGCCATACGAGCCTGCACACCTCAGGCCCTTTGTACAGGCTCTTCCCTCCACTTGGATTCAGAGGATTTCTATGCTTGCCTCCACACTTCAAGTCTTTGTTCAGATGTCAGCTTCTCCATGAGACCATCTTTAACCACCCTATTTCAGGGCCTCATGACCACCCCCTACTCCCCCTTCCCTTTTCCTTATTGTATATTTCCCTAAAGCTCTCATCACCTCTTACTACATCACACACATAAGTATATGTAATTCACTTAATACCTTTTTAAAAAATATATTTTATTAAAGATTTTATTTATTTATTGGACAGAGAGAGAGATCACAAGTAGGCAGAGGCAGGCAGAGAGAGGGGGAAGCAGTCTCCCCGCTGAGCAGAGATCCTGATGTGGGGCTCGATCCCAGGACCCTGAGATCATGACCTGAGCAGAAGGCAGAGGCTTAACCCACTGAGCCACCCAGGCGCCCCTAAAAAGTATTTTATTTTAAAGTAATCTCTACACCCAACTAGGGGTTCAAACTCACGACCCCAAGATCAAGAGTCGAATGCTCTACTGACTGAGCCAGCGGGTGCCTACTTTATACCTTCCTCACCATGAGGGCACATCTGTTGCTTGCTTTGCATACTGGGTACCAGTGTCCACACCAATGTCCGACACATAATAAGTGTGCAATGAAGAGATGTTAAGTGAACGAACCAACAAATCATCACGTCAGAAACCCACTCCACAGATGAGGAAACTGAGGCACAGGAAGGTGAAACATCTTTATTTAAGGAGAACTCAGTGACTGGGCTCAGACCTAGTGAGAAACTCATTTCATCTTCCCCACTGGGGTGGAATAGCCTGGCAATGAATGCCTCGTGGCTGGATGCTGCCAGCTTGGGTTCGAGTTCCCGCCCTGCCTCTAGCTAGTTCTATGACCGAGGGCGTGTCCCTTAATCTCTCCGTGTTCTGAGAACGAGGATGTTAACAGTACCTACAGCACGGGGTTGTTTTAAGGACAAAACAGGTTAATATTTGTAAAGTACTTAAGAAAAATCGCTGGTGCCTCAGAAATAAGAGGGAAATTCAATTAATATTGAACACTAAATTATGTTAGTTGCTATTATTATTACACATCATAAAAGAATGATGAACAACATTTAGCTACAGTGTTTTCATTTGGTGACATTTATTGGACATTTATGAAGCCACTGGGCTAACCATTAGAGCTGGGGCAACTCGTGGAATCCCATCATCTTGTTTAATGGGCAAAACCATCACAGGAGGCTGCCCTGGGTTAAGAGACTTCAATGATCTAATGCTTGTTATGCTGTCTAATGTCTGTAAGTGCTCAACTCATGACAGTTGTTATTATTTTTAAATAAGCTGAATAAGGTTTTGTTAAGGGGCGCCTGGGTGGCGCAGTCAGTTAAGCATCTGTCTCTTGGTTTTGGCTCAGGTCATGATCTCGGGGTCGTGAGATCGAGCCCTGTGTCGGGGATCCGCTCTCAGAATGGAGTCTACTTGAGATTCTTTCTCCCTCCGCCCCTCCTGCTTTTGCTCTCTCTCTCTCAAATAAATAAATAAATCTAAGAAAGAAAGAAAGAAAGAAAGAAACAAACTTGTATCAGGCTAGTGATCCACGGACATGGCAAAATGTCAGAACACCCCCTTTACCCTGATGCAGAGTGACTGGTTATAAGACAGGCTTTAAGAAACAGGGTGTAATTTTTTTCCCCCCAAGTGGTTCTTAATTGCCTTAGGAATTAGCTGCCATTTAATAGTAAGTCCACCAGTTTGCCTGTCATGGACATGAAACTCACCAGAGTGTGGTTCCCTTGCTTGGCTTGCCTTAAGACTGTGCTGGTTTCTGGCAAACAAGGGATCTCTGGAGCTGGGGTGGCCCCCTTACAAAATGAGAGCAGACAGGCTTCACCAAGGAACAAGGACCTTATGAGCCGTGAATATACAAAATCCTTGTTTGGGATGCTCCGCTGAGGGCCATAAGAAGCCTCATGGCCACCACGTCCACATGGCTTAATGCCGACCACTGGCTGGGTCAGTATGGGCCAGGTAAGGCATGACATGCCCTGCTGTCCGAGTGTCTGGGACTGTGTGTGTTTGGGGGGCAGCTATGTTGTTGGCTGGCACAGTGACTGGGGGTGCTAATGATATACAGTTTCTCGGACCCACAATGCTATACCGACCAAAGCAGCCATAATAAGATAGCCTATCTGACATGGTCTGCTAGGACTTGACCACTCTCCACTGCCCACACCCTTCTCCTTGACGCCGGCAGACCTCTGTGACCGCTTCAACTTTCAGAGCACCATAGACGTTACATGGCTAAGGGATTTCCAAGGCTGGGTCATAGAAGAAGATAGAGCCAACAGCCACCACCTGACTCTCTCGGGACATGTGCCATGGGAGCCCTGAGTCCAGTGGAGTGCTGCTCAACATTTAACAGCTTGCTCTCCAGGAGAAAAAAAGAATCTGGGTTCATAGCGTTGGCTGACATCTAGGTAAATACACCTACTGTGACTGATCACAAGCTACCAACGTCAAGTCCCTGAACCGAGGAGCTGGAGAGCTGCCCACAGTCTGCTCTCAGAAGCCCAAGCAAACCGCACGCCACACACACCCTAGCCCCAGTCACTGCTGAAGACTGGCTGAGTCTGAAGTCTGAAGAGACCCAGGGAAGGCAGAGAAGTGCCTGGGGAGCCCCAGCTGTTCGAGTCCCATTCTAGGGGCTAGACACAGTGGGGGATAAGCCTTCTGATGACCCAGCCCCAGCCACAGTCAGACGGCGCTTCACACAAGCCCCTAAGAACTACAAAGCTGAGCCCAGCCATTCCCCAGAGGCATGAAATAATAAAATAAAGGTTATAGTTTTAGGTTGCTGTGTTTTGAGTAGTCTGTGAGGCAGCACTAGCTA